GTAACCAATGAGCTGACCAAATATATGTAACGATCCAGAATACCCTCATCCCATTGGTCGAGCCCAGTGTTCCTCACGGAGAAGATAGCGGGAGACAACAGAGCAGTATGGGGGAGTCATTTAAATGCTGAAGCTGCTTTTGGGGGCATTCAACTCCTCAATGCTGCAAGAGTTTACAGGAAATATAAGTGAAAATAATAGTCTATAGCCACATGACGTGGCATTGAGCTAAATATATTTTTTTCTTCTGTTTTACGAGTATAGCCTACAGTCATTGCAGTTAAGGCACACATATGTTTACAAGGTTGCACCAAAAATGTGCACTATTTATTTATTGTTTTATATTCATTTGTACAGGTTGAATGTAATCAGGACATGCTTAGGTTTAAGATACTTATTTTATTCAGCAAAGTTTGTTATTTTGTATTAAAGTTATTTGCTGGAGAATATGTCATAATTGGTTTAAGCAATCTGACCCACCACTCAGAGACCAAGGGAAAACATTTAACAGGTTTATTGAATGTTGATCAAACACAGAAGTAGGAGCTGGAACTCAGTGGACTGATGAACAGGAACCGGAAAGTCAGGGACTGTAGGAAAATTGACTGAGGCTTGAATATAGCTGGAGAGAAACTCACGTTTGAGGGGGCTCTTGTTTTTTTGTTTTTTAATCATTCCTTTATTTAACCAGGAAAAGTCCCATTGAGATTAACAATCTCTTTTTCAAGGGAGTCCTGGCCAAGACAGAGGCAAAAGATTACATTACAATTTACATTACAGTTTACAATTACATCTATCTATAATTAGAAATTCATAAAACAGTTACAAACCATAGATCATTGTTAATCCTTGAATCCAGTTTGTGGGGAATTAATCCAGAGGAGAGTGGACAGGTAGACATACGTTGGACCCAGAGGAGTAAAGGAGCGGATTGTCACTTGGTTTTCAGATGAGGACTTGAATGGATCATGTGGAGGTTTACCCCTGCTCAGTGTGTACTCAGTAATCTTTCCAGGGGGAGAAGGTCCAGGTTATCCAGTTACACATGAAGGCTTCCTGCCGAAGAGCAAAGACAAAACAACATTTGACTCAGAGAACCAAAGCTTCGGTTAGACTCTGCTAATCTCAGCTTGGCTAGAGTACCCAAAACTGGCAAACACTCTGGCGTCGAGGTAGTGACAGCCCGCTGCTTAAATACTCCTCCGGTAATGATCCAACGAGCCGCAGGTGTGCAGAGAGGCCCAACGAGGAACAGGGCACCACCTGGTGGTGGAGAGAGGAAAACACAAAAACAACCCACAGAAACTAGATTCCCAACAGAATAATTTGTTTTCCATGTGTTCATGTCACTCACAAATATCCATATAATTCACTGTACGTTTGAGTCAAATAGTAAAAAAAATAAAAAAATAAATCATTTTACACACAAAAGGGAGCTAAAACAAAAATCACCACTCCAGTAGGGGTAAAGGCAATCAGGTCAGCTGGAACGCACATGAGGTGACCCTTTTTTGTATTTCAGGGAGTTGGCAACATATTGGTCACCCCATTATATGTATAAATTATCTTTATGTGTTGTATTTTTTAAAAGAAATGTGCCATCATTAATTTTTTAAAACATCATGGCTACTCATATTTTTTAAAACACTTTTTTTTTTGCATAGCAAAGCACATGATTTTTAGAAAGACTCACTGAATGTAGCCAAACAACAACCAGATGCTCAGATGTCCTACTTGAGTGTTTCTGGTGTGTAAAGATCAAAATGTTGCTCACCTATAAGAGAATATCTGATTTCACATGTGAGCTCATTCAAATTCTGTGGCTGAGGCTGGCAGCAGGAAAGGCAGGTCGGTCACGACGCCCCACGAACCTGCATGATCATGTGACTCTACTGCACGTGGCGTTGGAGCTGCACCACTCTGCTGTCACACCTGAAAACATGTTGAAGGAGGGCGTCCGGCATCCGTCTGAATGGGTTCAGCATCCTCTCAGCACGCTTTTTAAGTTTGAAAAATCTTTCATGACATCTCTATTACTGCTTCATAAAAAACCTCTAAGTGAAAGACACCATTTATTTCTTTGACTTAACATATACATGGCTGTACACTTTAAGCTGTTCATTTAATCATTTTAGAGCATTACAATAATGAGTCTTCTTAATAATTAATATTGGCATTAATCAGTAGGAACAGTACAGCCAGTTTCTGTCATTACTCTAAAGCTGGCTTTCAGCCTTTAAAATCACATTCTTGCTCTTTCTTTATTGTACAGTATGTTTATAAAAAGTCAGGACTGATCTCATTTCATGTAAAAACTTGGTTAAAAAACCCCCGCTAAATTAAGCCTGTTAGATGGGAATTAAAAATGAAAATATTTGCTATTGTTTGTTCTCTAAATCTTGTCTATCTCCAAAAGCCTAATGGTTCAAAGTTGACTGCTGTGCATTTCAGATGCACAAACAGTTGACCTCAGCATCACCGTGTCCTTAAATAGAAGGAGCTGCAGCTCCTATAAACATGCCAGAGCAGCTTTGATTAAAAAAAAATGGAAAATAGAGAAAATAGTCCTGACAAAGAATAAAATAAGGAATGTTTTTAGGAGGCCTGAATCATTCATCATTCGTCGTCCAGCCGCTGCCTCTCCCCAGCGCTGCTACTCTCTGCTCCCTAGATACGGTGGCAGCCATTCAAAATGGCCCAGAATACTCAGAATACAGCACTTATTTTTTATTTTTTTTATTTCTTATTTAGATTACATTTTTTTTCAGCTTCATAGCCATGGTGGGCCCCTTCTTTGATTTTATTTATTTTGCTGAGGCTACTCAGAAGCCCACGGCTCTCCAAATGTTGAAAGAGCAATATTATAGCCATTACTGTTAATGCTGTATGTAGTCGAAATTTTACACATTCAGTAATAAAATGTCACAATGGATGGTATGGGAGGATGGTCATTTAAGAAGGGGGAAGATTTTTAAGATTTTTTAAGAAGGGGGATGCCATCCCCCCTCAAATCGAGTACTGCTTATAGCCTATTAGAAATGCAAAGGGGAAGTTCTGTAAATAGCGGATTATGTGACCAAAGCAGCTCATTTAAAGTCGTAGGGAAGCGGCTGTTCCAACCGTTGCATTTCCGAATTCAGAAAGTGCACGACTTTAGACAAGTGAATTAAGTGAATGTTATTGGTCGTTTATCAAGGGGGCGGGATTGTTGTAGCGGAAGGTTTGCAAGCAAGTTAATTGTGGCCGATTTCTCAGAAGCATCTTGCTAACCAGTTAGCAACTTAGTGCTAGTAGGTTCCCAATGGGAAATTCCATTGGGACCAAGTAGCACTAAATTGCTAACCAGTTAGCAACTTAGTGCTAGTAGGTTCCCAATGGGAAATTCCATTGGGACCAAGCAGCACTAAATTGGTGACTTAGGCTACGTTCACACTGCAGCCTGAAGTGACCCAATTCCAATTTTTTTGCCCATATGTGACCTGTATCTGATC